GGATAGGCCGGGGGGGGGGGGGGCTCCAGTGGTGCTTTAACTACAAATCCCAGCATGTCTCTGCGAGTCCTGCCCATAACTGTCAGTGTTGCTCATGGGACTTATAGTTCCACAACAGCTGGAGAGCTGGATTTGTCCACCCCTGTATTAGACTGTATGGGCGGCTGGTCTGGAGCCTAGAGTAAAGCTGGCCATACACCTTACAATTATCTGCAGATTTTCTGTGGTCAGATGGGAAAGGTGCAACAGATTCCTCCATCTACACTTAACTGTGCGGATGGAGTAATCTCCACCTGGGCCAATCTGTTGTACTTTTTCCATCTGACCACAGAAAGTCTGCAGATAATTGTAAGGTGTGTGGGCACCTTAAGCCTTGTTTAGATGAATGGGTGAATCAGGTGATCCACGTTTTTGCGTTCCCTTGCTACCCACTGAGATCGGGACATCTCAGTGGGGCATGTCCCCTAATATATGGGGACAAAAATGCATTTCTTTAATATTTGCATTCAAGCCTGCAAAGCATTGCAATTGTGATCACCCGATCACAGCTGCAAAGTTCAGGCTTCTGCACAGTCTCTCCCAGGCAGAGCTCCGTACTGAGGTAAAGAGTTTCATTTCGGAGAGATGGGGAAGTACAGCTGGATTACAAATTACATTAAATCACCTCATCCAGCTTCCAGCTGTCCTTCCTCTAGAGCTGCCCATAATCCCGCATCTACCTTGAGCGAGGATGGCTGGACGCTGTATCAGGTGATTTAATGCATCTTTTCTAACTGCCTGGGAGAGAATGTAAAGAAGCCTGAGTTTTGCAGCTGTGACTGAGTGACCACAATTGCGATGCTTTCCAAGCTTGGATGCAAATATTAAAGAAATGCATATTGTTTTTTATATATTATTAATTATGCATTTCTTTAATTTTTGCAAAAGGTGAACTCCTTTAAGGCAATGTTAATAGAATTCAAGTGAGTCTGTTATTGTGGCTGGGTATGTTGCACAGCATTGAGACATGCTCATCTCTGGTCAGGCAGGCAGTGTATATTTTTGTTTATACAATGCAAAAACCATTTGTTGCTTTCTGTCCTCATACTCTCACTTCTGAGAGGAAATCTTTTAGTGTTAGTACTCCATGCATTGACTGCATTTGGTTATGCTATTTTTATTAACTGTGACAGCTCTTAGATGGGAATTCCCTTTGTTTTGAAGAGATTTTCTTAAAGCAGATTTAAAGTTTAGTTTTAAAATGAACATGGATAAAAGTAAACTTATCCCAGTCTCATAGATGGGTCTACAACATAGCCAAAAATAAAACAGAATTTGAGAAAAGACAATTTTGCATTGTGACTATAACTTAATACCGGGGTGGAGAAATGAATGTGGAATTCAGGAGTCTGTCTGACCAGTCCAGGAGTCCGCTCCATTGACAACAACAACAAGAGAAAACCTCCAAAGTTAGTCACCAGATATGGTTTTTGAGGTGCATTGGCCACCTGGCTCCTGGGATTTGTCCAGCCCTGTATTACAAGGAGCCTAAAGGTGCCCATACACTGTACGATAATTGCGGGAAATCCCGCGATCGTACGATAATCGCAAAGTGTATGGAAGGCGTGCGACCGTTTCTACTGTACGGTCACAAGTCTTTTGTCTAAGGAGCACGCTAGAAAACCCGGTTAGTGGCGTGCTTGTTCAACAACTGCCGAACGGGCCGGTGTGCGCACGCGTACACTGCCCGTTCAGCATTGCAGTCATCGGAAGCCCGCCCCTCAGGGGTCCGGGCTTGCGATGATCACAAGTACGATCTGCCTGTCCAAGATGGGCAGATCGTACATTTAATTACTTTACAACCCTCGCAAGACAAAAGTCTTGCAAGGGTTGTAAAGTGTATGGCCACCTTAAGAAGCTTCTTGCCCTGCAGTAGTTTTTTGGCAGCTTGATGTGGTCGTCATCTACCCTTAATCTTTCATAAAGCTGCATCTCCTTAATCTCTCCAGTCTTTTTTTTTTTCCTCAAATGTTCTGCACAAACCAACAGAAAGGAAAAATGACTAACTTTGTTTAGCATTTTGAATAGAGACCAGAAGAGACAACTGTACAGAGATGCACCATTACGATTTTCCCGTGTTTTTTAAAATTTACTTTAAAGTGACACTAACAAGGGCTTAAGCTAACAAATGTATTGAAGTGCACAATAGTAATGTTAC